ATATAACATATAATATAACCCGTGTCTCCAAAAGAACCTTGTATGCTTAGTATGGTTTAGTTAAACACTAGAACTCAAGAATATGTTCACTAATACCAACTCAGTTTCTCCTGCAGACTCATTTACTACTAACCTGCCAAAACCGTCTAGGAGTTTACAGTAGAGGAAACATCAACAATACACTAGACTGACTCAACCAACCTGCCAAAGAGTAAGCTGGGCTAAGAGAGTTGTAGCTTCTGTTTGCAAATGTCTATGTACTTTTCTCAGAAACTCAAGTAACCTGCAAAATGATCATTACGCAATGGACATTAATGGACATTACAGAACTTGAGAGTGATTAATGGACATTAAGCATCAGATTGCAATGAGATCTTAATTAAGAACACAAGGCTAGGAGCAAAGAAAGAAACCTAATAGCTTTTATTAACCAAAGTTGTAATCTTTTATGTAAGCCAAAAACACCTCCTAATCAACGATTTAACTTCGAAAACCAAACTGAACAAAAATGTACACAAATTTGCAATCTTACCGAACGCAGAGCATAGCCACAAATAAACAATCTTCTGAAACTGGTACTAAAACTACAAGATAAACCTAAACTCACTCAAAATCAACAACGATAACTCACTCATCCACTAACAATCTCAACAGAGTAATCACTAGAAGAACGAGCAAATCTGCACAAAATCTCATTTAAGCACTACGAATCTGGAAACATTCAACTCCAATCACCTCAAAACAGAACGAATCAATGTTTGGCTACGAACGAGAATGCTTTTGGGAACTTCGAGACGGCTCACGAATCCGGTGCGAGCGCGGTTAGAACCATCCAAATCGTTGGACTTTTTGCAACATACCAGTGCTCGAACAAGATTGAGGACGAGACTGTAGAGTTCTTCGGAGAAGAAAGAGCCGTCGACTGAGAGGCACAGAGTAAACAAGTCAGGTTTAGGAGCCACCGTCGGAGTTGGAACAGTCTGCGACGGCGGATTAGGTTCCCGAGCTCAGGTTTGAGATCTATGTGTCGCGAGTGAGAGAGAGATTAGGTGAGTGAATCAGAGAGAGATGTTTGTGTGAGAGGAATCGTGTGTGTGTGTGTGAGTGAGGTTACGAGAGTTAGATAGAGAGAGGTGTGTGTGAGATCATTAAGATCATAGATGGAGGAGATGAAATCTGAAAACAGAATAGAAAAAAATAAGATAGAAAAAAAATAAGAATAGTCTGAGTGTTTTGGTGGCAGAGTGTTTTTTTTCCAAGTATTGGGCGAACAGACTAAAATTTTCACACAAAAGTGTTATTGTAAACAAAATCTGTAAATCTTGTTTTACCGTTTAATAATTTTTGTTCTTAGCACGAGTTTTTTGCTATGATAGAGTTGTGATCAATTTTTGACATTTTTGATAGAAGTTCATGAATTTGTGCTATCGCGAACTGCTACCAATACTCATATTTCTTGTAGTGAAAGTACTATAGATGCTAAAGTGGATCACCGATCACCTATGACAACACTTTCATGATTGTCTGGAAGAACCAAAGTTGATTTCCAACCTAACCTGACATCTACTGCTGTCTTGGGGCTTGGTATACAAGGAATCGGAATCCTCCTGCAACATTAGTTGTTCATTGGGATTGATATAAAAAAGAGAGAAAGAAAGAGTTAGGATTCAGAGAAGGGAGATAAAGAGAGAAAGGAAACCATGATGAGAATACCTGAAACTTGTTTGAGTTGAATCCAAGTGTTCCTTGATCGATACTCCCAAGGTAAAGCCTACACCTTTATTTTTGTGCATAAATGAAATCAGTAAAGGGGATAGACAGCAAGGAATGTTTAAGTTGTTTGGCTAGATGTATTTGGTTGCTAAGCTAGGATATGGTATAATGTACTTCTGTAGTTGATAGATATGAGATGTGGCTTGCAACAAAGTAAGAGGTGATGATTTTAAAGTTAAGATTTTGATTGAGTCCCTGTTGTTTTTAAATTTCTTTCAAAGGCTAACTTATGGTTTGATTGAGGACAAGCAAAAGGTTAAGTCTGAGGGAGTTAATATACCATGATTTTGACCCGCTTTTGGTCATGGTATTGAAATGTTTTTATGATAATTATCTATGTTTTGGAGTCTATTAGGTATGTTTTCAGGTTCAGGAGCATTTTGGAGTAAAGTGATGATTTAGGTGACTTATGGAGCTTAAAGGAGAGTTTTCCAAGATGACTATGAAGATCCGACAATAAGAGATACATATCAATCGATACACACCTTGTGTATTCGCTCGATGACGCTTCCGTAGAAGTTGAAGTCGAGATACTCCATCGATCGATGTACACTATGTACCATCGATCGATATGAAATGTGAAGAGCAAGATTTACTCGGCCGACTTGAAGCCCAAGTTCTCCCCATATTACAAGATTGCCACTGACGAGTTTTTAACCTAATTGTACTCATATTTATAGTTATGCCTATGAGCCCTAGAAGACATGTGTTTTTAGTTTACATCAAGTTTTGTAACTTTTTACTATTTTCTTTTCATCTTATTCTTTTGCTATGAAGCACTTGGATATGTCTGAGTAGATTCATTTGTTAGATTTATGGTTCAAATAGTTATGAGGGATTAGCCTCAACTATGGAGCGTTGAGTTGTTATATTCATTATCCAAATGAACCCTAATGCTTACTCTAGAGTAGCTACCTAGAAGTATTATTTTGGAGTGACTAATCTAATAGTCATCATCCTGAAATCATTTGGCTAAGCTCAGATTCCTTTAGGCACGTGCGATAGGCGGTCTAATTGAATTCTCGGGTGAACACAGTTTAAATTCGATCTGATGCTATATTGATCGATACTCCTATAGAGTAATCGATCGACGGCAACACATATCGACCGACACTGCGATAGAAACATCGGTCGATACTTTCGGCAATCAGATCAATGGACGAGTCTAACTAGCGACAGCTATATATTTGTCTAAGGATTGAAGTTCTCTTATATTTGCAAGCAATTCGTTAAGACATCCATAGATTTATAATCCTGATTTTCTGAATAGTAACCTTGAATCTAGCTACTTTCTTTTATTGTTTTAAAACCCAAAACATATTCTCTTGAGCAACTTACCATTGCTCACAATTGCAATTTATTATTTTCAAACTAAATCAACCTAGCTTAATCACTTAGGATTATATTTTTTGTGATTCTAGTTCCTTGTGGATCCGATCCCTAAGTACTACGATTGAACCTCTTATTTGAGAGAGTAATTCACTCTTTAAGGTTAAAAATTTGAGTGATATCACAGTGACAAAAAAAAACTCACTTGAATTTGGTCACCAATGTTAACGATAAGAGCATGGGGAGTTGGTTCGACTGTGATCCAAGCATCGTCAGATCCACGAACCTGAAGACCGGCGACATGCTCGTCCGACGTCTGGTAATAGAATGGTCAATCCTCCGGGGTCAGAGTGCGGAGAGAGCCCAAGAGTTAGCTCCGGCTGAGAGCATTTTGGGTAGTAATTAACCCTCAAACACCCTCCTGCTTCATCTTGACCACCAAACGCATTTTGAAGTCTATCCTCTTGTAATCCCAAGTTTGTCGATAATATTTTCATCAAGTTCTCGCACAACTTCACCATCTCCTTGCAATATTCCTCTAACACGTCTCTATATAATTTAAATTTTAATATAAACAAGTCGAAAATATTGTTGTTATCATTTACTTTTTGAGAATATATATATATAATATAATTATAAATAGCTTGATCCAACAACTAGTATTTTATGAACATGTTCTTGTCGTGAATTACAATAACCCACTGAACAGTACCGTAATAGTACGTCGGTTTTGTTTTATTAGGTAACTGTTTTATATAGCAAAGAGAATTTCAATGCTAAATAAAAAGCAAAGAGAACTTCGCACACCGTTGAAGAAAGAAAAATGTTTTTTTTAATGATAGGTTTGATGTAGCTCGAAGTAATAGTAACATATGGATTATAAAATTATAAAACACGTATACGAGTATAATGTTTAACTAGATCATAACCCACACGACTGGACTAGTCTTTGTTTTTTTGGTATATATAAACATTTTAAAAATTATAGTCTAAGAGTTCCAGTTTTACTAAATAATAGTATACTGTTTAAACATTGTATTTTATCACTGTATTGTGTAACAGAGGCGTCGGTAAAATGTTGTGACCCATAAACATTTTATTAATAGTTTATAAAGTTTTTTTTGGTTAAATTTGGTGCAAAGTTATATACACTAAATAATTTAGTCAAATTTTGAAGTTAATTTTTTAATGAATAATTGGAAGGCTAGTATATCACTGTTAAAAATTTATAACAATAGTCAATATAAATTATATAAATAAAATATATATTATTCTTGATTTATTCTAAATACATTTAAAACACGAGTACATATATGTATAAATAATTTTCAGAAATAAAATAATATCAATGATAGAAAACCCAAAAACAATAATAATGGTATTTTGGGCCGTAATAATCTTTTAGCTTAATAAATAAGCCCATTAAGTTTGTATTCTACCCATGTTACCAATCAAATTTTAAAAAATTTATTATTCATATTTCCAAACACTTTATTTTTGTACTTCAGCTTTAATAGTATTGAAATAACAATAGTCAATATAAATTATATAAATAAAATATATATTATTCTTGATTTATTCTAACTACATTTAAAACACGAGTATATATATGTATAAATAATTTTTAGAAATAAAATAATATCAATGATAGAAAACCCAAAAACAATAATAATGGTACTTTGGGCCGCAGTATTCTTTAGATTAATAAATAAGCCCATTAAGTTTGTATGCTATCCATGTTACCAATCAAATTTTTAAAAATTTCTTATTCATGTTTCCAAACATTTTATTTTTGTACTTCAGCTTTAATAGTATAGATTTAACAAAACTGATAAAGCTTAGCAAACTTGAAAAAAAGCCTATCACATAATCCAACAGCACCCTCACCAAGGGGTTTTTAAATATATTTTAAATTTAGTTAAAACTATTTAAAATTGGAAAGAAAGTAAAAAAAGGAAGAATATGTTCTTAGGCCAACTCTAATCGAACAGGATAATGTCAATTATCACGTGCTTCACTCGCCAACCGAACGGTTAACCCAACGGCATAAATAATTTTCTGATGTTTTGTGAACAGTGTTACATCAAATTGGATAATGTCAAATATCACGCACTTCACTCGCCAACCGAACGGTAAACCCAACGGCATAAATACTTTTTTGTGTTTTATGAACAGTGTCACACCATACTTGGTGTAACACTGTTCACAAAACACAAAAAATAAAATATTTTTTTATTCTTACTTTTATCTTAAAATAATATATTTAAATAAATATATTTCAGTTAATTATACTTTTAACACATCTTACTAAGAAAATTAATTAAAAATACACATAAATACCTCAACTAAAATAATAAATTAATAAAACATATAATTACATAATTAAAATTAAACACACATAAAATTACGTAATTAACATTAAAAGCACATAAAATTACATAATTAAATTAAACACACATAAAATTACTAATTAAAATCAAACACACAAAATTACATAATTAAAAAAATACACGTAAAACACACAAAATATAAATTTTATTAATAATCTAATAAATTCCTGAAAATCCAATTAATTTCTTCAGTTTTCAAATTATTGATTAATTTTTATTTTTTTATCAACTGGAATTTTATATTTTATTTATTAATTAATCAGTTTTATAAACAATAATTAATTATTAAAACTATTAAAAAATAAACAGCAAACTAAATTTAATATTATAATAATAGAGAATATTCTTTTCGTGTGGAATTTGGTGTTTGTGGTTGGAGATGAAAAAAAAAATAAAACACCAAAACACCAAATTTAGTGTTTTTTTCACATCAAATTTAGTGTATAGGTTGGAGATGCCCTTAGGGAAAACTCCCAACAACAAAATGCAACATACCTATAGACACATGTCTTTTACTAATCTAGCATTATTATCTTTTAAAAATTGATCGTTTTACTAACTTCAAATGAATTATTATCGTTATTATAATTGTGAGACACCTGCTGATGCTCTAACTAAGAAGCTTTTGAATAAAATATACCGGCAATGAAGAGGCAGAGATGGCCACTTGGAGTAATCCTTCAATGACAAAGGCTGATAATGAAGATATAGTAGTCGCTCCAGTCAAGAATAGCACCCTTCTCTACGCCAAGTCGGCTTCCATATCCCTCATAAGTCTTTGGCGAATTAGCATTCATGTTTTTCAGCTCCATGGGAAGATGAAAGAACTCTCTCCATGTTTCTTTAGCTCGGTCTATGAGCTGCGGACTCATTGTTGATTATTCGGGTTGTAACCCAGAAATTTGTGAATTATATATTTGAATAATGATTGAATCGCGCACGAGGTCACTTTCCTTAAAGAGTATTTCGACCCTATTCCAATCTTTTGGGTTACACGAAATCCCTTTGTATGATAAGACAATCAAAGTCACATTCTTGTTCTAGGCTAAAATACAAAGAGTTTTAAATCTTATATGTGTTTCTTCAAAGATCTTTGATGATCTTTGAACAATAAATCTATTTCTCTCTTACTCTCTTACTAACTCTTAGTTTCTGATTTTTTTTCTATACCTTTTGCCAATGCCTACATCTCTTTATATAGAGAGTGAAAGGTTGCAACCAATGGTTGCAATGGTTAATCCAAAAGATGCAATGGTTAGTACTAATAGTTGCAATGGTTAATGAAGAGTTACAATTGTTAATATCAACAATTGCAATGGTTAGTAAAGAGTTACAATGGTTAATCATCAAGGGTTGCAATCATTAATATGTTTAATCACCAAAGGTTGCAAATATTAGTATGGCTATCACCAAAGGTTGCAATCATTAATATGGTTATTACCAAAGGTTGTAATCATCAATAGTTGCAAGCTTTTATTTATGTAGTTGCAATTGTTCACATAAACAATTGCAATGGTTCATTGCACCCTTTTACTTAAATATATACAAAGCCAAGTCCCAGCTTATTGAAGCGGCATCACTTCACATTCATATAGATAAATACTTTCACTCATGAACCTGCAAATGCACTTTTTCAAAGTATTTATTAAGAATAATATTTCAACCTATCCATTCTTGCAGGTCCAAGCACATACCTTTGGATGACATAAAAACAAAAAATGTGCTTCAATCTTTAAGTGTAGGCTTTCCACATTGAATTCAGCCTCTAACGTCGTATTAGAGGGGAATTGGGTATCCCACCATTAAAGATTTCACATGGACTTTAAACTCATCCCTTTAACAGACTCAACTACCAAGTCTCTAGCTAATCATTTCGTCAAATGATATGCTACCTTCCTTTCAGACCGAACAACCTCTTTGGTAATCACCCCATGAGTGATCAGCTCAGATATTGCGCTATATCTAACGCTAGGTGTCGCGACTTACCATTATACACTTAGTTATAAACCTTAACCAAGACTTCTTAACTATCAAAGATAGAAACTGGTGATACTATTTCAGCCAAAACAGAATCTCATAAATTAAATTATTTATTCAAAATTCTGTTTACTAGCATATGCTAATGCTACGAATTTTTATTTTGTAGTCAAATTTTTCATGCAACTTTGCTCCTTGGAAGTCCATGAAATGGCACCTCCCCAAGCAAATACACTCAACCAGTTATAGAAGAATGATCTTCTATATGGATAATCAAACTTGCATCTAAATACTCTTCTACCATCGAAGGAAATCTGACATATAACAAACTATAAGTTATGATTCCATTCAAACACTCGAGTTGTGATATTTATTGTCCTCTATAAGATCCAAATTTCACACTCGCATCCATGGGAATTCTCATTGGAGAAAAATCTCGCAATCGAACTTCTTAACAACTTTCTCAATATAAAGAGAGTTTGTTAAAGATAGTTTTTTATTTATATGTGTGATTCAAATTTCAAGAATCACATCCACCTCTCCCATGTCTTTCATTGTAAAACTTGATGACAATAATTCTTTTGTAAGCTTTACTTATATATGGCTAGTGCCAAAGATCAATATGTTATCAACATATAAGCAAATGATTATTCCATTACTGGATTTATCAATTTGTTATATAAACACTTATCCTAGTAATTTAACTCAAACCACTTGATAAGACAATCTTGTTAAACATTTGATGTTACTGCATATGTGCTTTCTTTACCATACATATGAATGTATACATTTATACTTATTACAAGGTACAATAGAACCTTAAGGCTGTTTCATACACACTTCTTTTTGAGCCATCGATCCATATCATGGATCATAGTCCATAGCACCCGACCATGAACAATATGTTTACCACTCATGATGGCTCGGACTTAACCCTAATGACTTGCATCCATAAGTATCAATGATATTATGTTCGTTCACTTTTGGTAATATTATGTTCGCACCCTTTCGGTGATGTTATATTCACACTTTCTTGGTGACGTTACATTCTCACCCTTTTGGTGATGTTACATTCGCACCCTTTCGGTGATGTTATATTCGCACCCTTTCAGTGACGTTCCATTTGCACCCTTTCGGTCCCGAACCATTCGCAC